TAAGTTAAGCGGTGATGGGAGAAATTTTTGTTGATTAATTGCCAATTGTCATATGCTTTACGCCTATAACAGCTATTTTGCTGCAAATACAAATATAAGAGAAATAATAATCTTATTATTTGCATAGGAAGCTCGACGACGACATACTTCCGGTAATGGTGGTATCACCAAATTGTAGTATCAGATCTTTAGGCGGATGATAAATATTAAAAATTAACGTTGTTCGGTAATTACGCTTTTCATTGGTAAACTAAGTGTCTATATTTTCAATAATTTTCAATTCATTTTTCTCCCGTTTTCTTTTTTTTTTGAGTATTTTATTTTTTTCAGTTTGTATCTTCAGCACACGTTTAATATTTTGCACTTCTATTTTACATATTTTAAAGAATTATTTGAAAACAAAAGATTACTTTTATTTGGAATATTTTTCCAGTAATATATGTTTTTTAAAGCGTATTTAAGCGTATTACGTTTTTTTGGTAATCGCATTCAGTGACTGTTCTGTAAATGGTTAAGGTATTTTCCAGCTTCTTTTCATTTTATTTTTTTGATAATTTTCAATAAATTTTGAAGATTATTGGCGGTTAACAATGAAAAGCTTTATCAAACATTTAGCTTTTTTTCTTTCCTTATTTTTTTTTGGTAAAGGCAGGAGCTTTTCTGACCGCTTACTTATACTGTGACGCGGCACACTGGACTAAAACCGAATGGGTCATGAACTTATTCAACGTACTCCTTATTCTGGCGTGTATAATATACGGGACTACGGTTACCACTCAAGTTCTGCAATTAGACGGAACATATCATAACACGAAGAAGACCAACAGCGTTTTCACTGAAGAAAAGTTTATCTACCTTTTTATTCATGCGAAAGTCTTCTTCTAGTTTATTCACTTTAACAACCCCTAAATGGCACAACCGTCACCAAGTGTAAGATAGTCAAACAAAGAGTAAATCAAAAATGAAGTTGTCTGACAAAGGTTATCATATTATAGGCAGCCGAAGAATGCTAAAGCACTTTTTCCTTAAAGCAGCTTGTTTTTTTCTGAAAAATTTTTTTTTTGTTCAACGTTTCAGAACCTGATATATTGATTGATTACTGAATTTTGGAGGGTAGTATGGTTTAATGGCTTACCATTTTAGTACCAGTAATGAGACGACGAAGATGCCACTTATCAAACCAGAAGGGTCTGAGGAAGTTGCTGAAGAGAAACGAACATCTATGGTAACTTAGCGAGTAGATTTTTTCAATAAGTTTTCAGTTATCCTTCTCACCCAGCTTATCTTTCTTTCTTCGGATAATTTTTTCGTCGTATTTTTTTCTATCTAGGTATATCTAATCGTAATAAAAGTACCCTAGTATTGTAGTTGCAAGTTTTTTAAGGCAACATTCTTCATTCTCATGGTTATTGTGCTGGCAACATTACTGGTTCATTTACTAATAGTAACCAACTTTTACTACATTCCTGAAAGTTTAGCCATAGTTATTCTCGGTAAGTCAGTAATTTTTTGGCTTTTTTTAGTCAGGAAGGCTCTCTTTTTAACTCACAAGAAACGTTATCAGAAAATTGTGTGTTGCAATGGTTGGAATGAGCAAATATTATCTTATTTTTAAAACTATTTTCAGGAGCCTTTATTGGACTTGTTCTTTCCTACAGTAAGAGAGATTGGAGTCAAGTAGAGTCTTTTAATCCTAACTTCTTTTTTCTCGTTCTTCTGCCTCCAATTATTTTCGAAAGCGGCTACAATTTGCATAAAGTGAGTCATTTCTTTCTTACTTTTTTATGTTATTTATGCAATACTTTATTCTTCACCCTTACCAGGTTTTGATAATACTGTTTAGGGAGATTTTTTTGCGAATATGCTTCCAATTCTCACTTTTGCTATTGTGGGTACAGCGATATCAGCATTTGTTATCGGTTCTGGTTTATATATATTGGGGCAGGTGCGTTAATAACCTTGTTTGCTGCTTCCCAAACTTAAAACTTATTACTGTTTAGTTTTAACTGTCTTCTCTTTTTAGGCTGATTTAATATATAAGTTGACTGCTGTTGAAAGTTTTGCATTTGGTTCAATGATTTCTGCTGTTGATCCTGTGGCAACTTTAGCTATTTTTCAAGCTCTGAACGTAAGCGATTGTTTTCACGGCGGTTTTGAATTGTTGTTTGTCAGATTTTCTTGTGTAACAAGCTTTGTGACCAGGTGCTTTATGCTGAAATTAACTGTTATAGGTTGAGCCAATGTTGTACATGTTGGTATTTGGCGAGTCAATGCTGAATGATGCGGTATCTATCGTTCTTACATCGACTGCGCTGCAAATGTCAGATCCAGAAATGAGTACGCTATCAACAGGGGGCAGTATAAGGACAGCATTGTTTTCATTCACATCTGTTTTTTTTGTGTCTGCAGTCATAGGGGCTGCAGTTGGTTTTCTTTCTGCTCTGGTAAGTTTTAAGAAGGATAAAAAATATTCGGTTGCTCATTTTATGAATTTTTTATATATGTTACACCTAGTAGTTACCAATGGAAACCAGTTATTAATTGACTGGGATGTCAGAACACTGGAAATTTAAATAAATAGGGCTGTCTTGATGGAAGGATGCAAAATATAATCTTCTAGTTACCTGAATTTGAAACCGTTCTTTTAGATCGTTGTTTATTCAACTTAATTCTTATTGGTAAATAGTTCACTTAAAAATATTTATTTTTTTCTGCTAAACATCCACCATTGGTCATTTTAGCTGTAAAAAATACGTGGTTTAGTTTATCGTTAACCTCTCTTGAAATGACGTATTTGGCGGATAGTTTCGTTTCTGAAGAGACTATAAAAGTTCTTCTCTACAATGAAGTAGATGAGTGAAAAGCTAATATTCTTTAAATTTATGTTAGAACAATTGGAAACGTTTTTATACATTTGCTTATCTTCTTACTATTGGGATCAGAAGTATATAATGTTATTTTAAAGCTTTTTTTTTGTTTTTTATAGTTTTTGCTACGTAGTATTTCACTTACAGTTATTTAAACACGTTGACTTGCGCAAGACTCCGTCTTTGGAATTTGCTCTTCTGTTGGTATTTGCGTACTTGCCTTATGGGTTCGCAGAAGCACTTTCTTTGTCCGGTGAGAATTTTCTAAGTTTTATGTATTGTATATTGTCCAAAACTGTTGGCGTTTGTTCCGTACTTTGTTCTTGCTTTTTAATATTACCGCCTCTGCTCTATTTATCGTTTTTTGATCTTGCTGCTGTGAATAAAAGTTTGATAATTCGCGATTGAAAATTGTAGGGATTATGGCAATATTATTCTGTTCTATAACAATGTCACAGTTCACGCACTATAATGTATCCCCGATAACTCAAATAACGATGCAGCAAACTTTAAGGACAGTGTCTTTTATTGCAGGTATTAGTCTTTTTTAATCCCTAACTAACCCGCATCTTTTTTATCCAAGCTGTTCTGCTTGTTTCAGTTTCTAAGTACACGCTTATAATCAGAGATAATTTTTTGTCACTTGATCGTGGTAATCATAATTTTCAGTGTTTTCCAAATTTTATAAATTATTTCTATGGTCTAGCATTTTACCAGTAACTTCTCTTTGTAAGAAAAAACAATTTCTCACTTAGATTCTTCGTTTGTTATGCTTGATTTTTCCAATGAAATCGACTTTGGAAGGAAATATTGATTTATTTTATTAAGGTTCTTATTGATATCTTGTTAACATTTTTTACAGTAAGTTAGACAATAAGAAGGAGGACAAACACTTACTTTTTTCGAATGTTTGATTATAACTCGGTGCACTTGTCATTATATAAAAACTTTAAGAAGTTTTTTTGAGAATGAAATATCTTTGAAAATCTTTATAAGGAGCTTTTCATTCTTTTGGCTGGAGTGATCAATAACTTAACTTTTTTCTAGAAACTTGTACATTTGCTTATCTCGGTATGGCACTCTTCACTATTCAACTTGCTTTCGAACCTATGTTTATCTTCTGGAGCATTGTAAGGCTTCTCTGAATAAGTCTTTTTTGACGAACTTTAATTATAAAAAATGTGCGCTTAAGCTTAGGCTTAGGCTATTCTTGTCCTGCAAATGAGGCTTCTTCTAGGTCACTGATCGCAGTAAAAGCTTATTTTTGCATTCGTAGGTGCTGTGCAGTTTGACCAATTGATATTTTACAAGTTGCTGTTTTTTAATCAGTTTATTTGAAATAAATTTTTCAATTACTCAAGTGGTGGTTACCTTCATTTTAGGTGTTGTTTAAAGGCATCCGAAACTATTTTGGCTTTCAGTGTATAAGTAGTAATTTGGTTTTAAAAAAGATTATTACAAATTATTTTAAAAGTCATGAGAATACATCTCTTCTGATTCCTAATTGAACATGTCTGATTTTAGTCTTCTTCTATCTCCTCAGAGTTTTTGAATGGTTTCTTATATTTTGTATTTTAGTTACTTTGTTTGATCAGTCGTGCTTTCAACGTTTTTCCCCTCTCATTTATTGTTAACAAATGCCGGCATGTCCAGATATCAATAAAAAACCAATTTATCATGTGGCTAAGTGGTTAGTTCAAGTAGAGGTTTTTACTTTATTTTTTTAGGAATTATTAATTTGAAAAAAACGGTAATATGGTATTTTATCTTACATTTATTGTTAAGGCATGCGCGGAGCTGTAGCGTTTGCTTTGGCCTTACATATATCGATAGAAAATGAAACCACCAAGAGAATGTTGCTTACGACTGCTTTATTCATTCTACTTTTTACCATTATCTTTCTGGGTGGCTCAACACTTCCACTGGTCAAAGTAAATATACTGTTTTCATTATTTTTGATACAGCTTTGAGTTTAATTAACAAGAAGGCGTGGAAAAAAATTTAGTGAAAGGTAAATCAGTCAATAAAGAAGAAAACAAATAGTTATTTTTTTTTAATTTTAATTTTCAATTTTGAGTGTCATTTTTTTGTCACTAAAAGACTGTCAGTGAGATAATTCCAGATATTAAACGAGGTTTTCTCGGAGAAAAAACATACACACAGGAGACGTCGTTCTCGTCGAAGAAAAGACAGAGGAGAGAGCAAGTCACAAGTGATGATGAGTAAAACTCAAGAAATGGTGCTTATCAAACTATCTGCTTTAAGTTAATGCATGTAGAATGATGGGGGGTCGTTTTTTAAAACTAGCTAAAAATGTTTTTAGCTTATTATATTCCTTTTTCAGGCGGGAAGAAGGAATTTGAAAAAGAGGGTTTTCTTTCTTATTTTTTTTATAAAGTTGTAGCCTCTATTGTTTTGTATCGGGACGTTGCACAGATAAGATGAAGATGATTATTAATTAAAGTCAGTGAAAAGGAAGGGAACATTTCAATTACAGTCTTTACTATTAATTTATCTGTTTTATTTGATTACCTTTTGATATTTTTTTTGGATTTAATTGAACATTTATGAAATCACTGCCGAGAATCTTAAAGTTATGGAAGATTACATCTAGATTTTCTATTGTTTAGGTCATTTTCGATCACTCGGAACATATGACCTCTGCTGCTGAAGAAGCCGCTGGCGTGTCTCAGCGACGTTCCCCTTTACCTCGTAATCGTATTGCCTTATTCATAGAAAGATACATAAGACCAGTATTTGTGAGGAAATTTACAATTCAAGTAAGTAGTAGTTTGTTTTGCAGTTACTAGATACAAAATTCTCTAAAATAACTAAAAAATCTCAGTGATTTATTCATTTTCTTCCCCATAATTTTCATACTTTTCTTTCGACAGCACCCAAGTCCCTTTCGTTTTCAGGAGAAGATCGAAAATAAGATGAAATTAAAAAGTGTAGCAAGTGAAGTGTTGAATAAAACTGCGTTGGAAGCGTTAAATCTTGATACTTCTTCAGAAGAGGAATTGTTTAACCCGATTCGCAGTGGCGCTGCAGAGCCTCTGCTCAAATAAGAACTTTGGCAGTTCTTTTTATAATACGAGTGCAACAGTCATTTATTAACCTTCGTTTAACACTGCTAAATGGTATATTCCAGATTTCTTATGACTTTAAAGCAGTTCCCAAATAGTCATCTAATTATCCAGTTAGCCGTTTATGTTGAAGTATTTTTAATTTTTCATAAGTACGGTGCCCTTACTTTCCACTTTGAGGAAGCTCATAACTGATTTGAAAATTCTGCTGTGATTTGCTTTGCTCTTGAATACGGTGTCTTTTAATGCTGAAATTCTGATTGCAAGTTTTTGTAGAGGTCCCTCTTCTTGTCTTTCAGTAATTCTGAATCCATTCATTTAAGTTTTCGCCTAGTATTGTTAGTAATTACCATGAATGTATTAACACTTATCACTTAGAATACTGTAGAGCAGTTTCAAAGATTTAGTCATTTGAACTTTTTGCCTCATAGAATCTTGGTGGTCTTGCATATAAAATTTAGCGTTGCTCTGCAAAATTTCACATATATTTTTGGTTTAAGCCTTATGACCTTTACATTGGTGAAGTTATTTCACCATTCAAATATAATTCCTGCTATTTTTGACTCTTACTAGTTTTTATTTCAGCTTTTTCATCATGACTTGCCATAATAGCAGTTTTATAAATATTGTAATAAGAGTTTAGACGGCTTTTATGTAGTGAAGCAGTAATTTGAAAGTACCAAAGTCACTTTTTGAAATAAGTAAAAATTAAATCTCTGGTAGAGCTTTACATGGACTTTCCATAACTTTTCATCGTCTTATGGTCTCCTCGTTTGAAAAGTCATTGTTTTGTGATCTTTCTAATGTTGAATTCCTTCAGTTATTGTTGACAAACTTTGAAAACTTCTTTACTTTTCTTTTATTTTTTTGAAAGCGTTTGTTTACTTTTGATGGATGTTATTTGTATATTGCAGCGGGACTAATTAATTTATTGGGTAAAGTTTTTGATTATTATATTATTATTTTGTAATGAATTTTTGTCAAATTTTCTTTTTTTGGAACAGCTTTACTTTAACTCTTTGGAAGTACGTTCTTAGGAATTAGGCTGTTAAAGTTATTGGCCGAAGAGCGGGGGAATCTACCATCCCACTGCCTCCGTAAAAACGTTCGCTAGTAGTTTTTGAATGAATTCCGAGTGATCCTCCATCACTGAGATTGTTAGGAACCTTAAAAATCGTGTCGTATTCGTCCCTGAAAAGTGTAGTTTTGTTGGAAAATGATCTTTTGAATTGTGATTCACATGATTTTTAATGATCTACGAGATGTTTAAAAAGGCGGCTTTAACAGGAGAAACTTGATACGAGCTGGATAATGCTTTTTTAAAATACTCAATCTTTTTCATGTCTGTACTTTCATTTTTTGACAGTTTTTCTCCATAGTAGAAATCAATTTGTGCATGTCTTTACCTTTGTTTTCCCTGGGTATGCACTGCTGTGTTAACTGCTGGTTTGGTTGGGTCGAGAGACGGGAGAATTAATCTACCTCCTATTCCTGGTATTTCGCGTTCGGCAGCGCCAACAAACCGGAATCGCGTATGCTTACCTTTTGGCTTAAAGAACAGAGGAGGTATCGGACGTTCTTCGATATCCTGTAACGTCAAAAATGTATATCTTAAGTAAGGTTTTTTCATTGGTTGGTAAGAATTCCAAAAGATCAGATAATGTCCGGATATAAAATTACGCACTTTTTAGAAAACAGAGAACGCTAAAGTTGTTTTTCACCTGCAGCAAGCTGTTTTAATAAAGAAGTAGGAAAGAGTCGAGGTTTAAACTTAAAAATTCAACCTGTTTAACTTCAGCATTTTTTGCTAAAGCACCTGCAGAAGTTTTTGTGCCGTAGGCTCTGTTAGGATAACTTGTGAAGGTGTTTCCTTGGTTAGCTGTATAACCTTTTTGTGAATCTGTTAAAACAGTATTTCGATTAAGTCGTTGGGCCAAGTCTGTGTTTTCAAATAGTCCTGCGAGAGCTGGATTATTTCTTAATCGTTCCAAAACTCTTGAATGGCTTCCTGGAAACAAAGTTTATGTAGGATTAACATTACGCATATGTTAGAAAGCAAAGTCAGCGTTGCTAACTACTTGGTTCTAAGGTTCTTTTTGGAGCTCTTTGAATCTCTGCAAACGGGAAATCAGGATTCTTGAGTTCCCTTGATGGTTCAAAATCTTCGTCGGTGTTCACTCCAATTACAAGGGGCAACATTGATCTCGGTCTACAAGCTTAAAGAATATTTTTTAAAAGTGCCTACGCAAGGTTGTCGAAAGATGGAGTCTATATTACAACACTTAAAAAGAGACAGACTTTAATTTTATTTGAAATTCACCGCTTAGGCAGTTTCCGCGGAATGAAATAGCCAGGCTGTGGATTAGGATTGTTGAAAATTTTTTTTGGTTCTAAATATTTTTCTGGCTGGCTTAATTGGTAGGCCAATTGTGAGCTGTCCAGAAGTTTTGATAGGCGCTCGCTGTTTTTCAATTGACTTACAAAGTCCGTGTTTCGCAAAGGAGACATTCTTTTAAAGTCAGTCTGAAAAAAACTCACCTCGGAGTTCACAGATGGTTTTAAGAAGTAGCAATTTTCACCAAGCGAACACCCTTTAACTAAGAAAATTGTAAGCGGAAGGCTGATCATTTTTTTCCGAAGTTTTACTAAGGTGTATAGAAATTGTATTGACCGCATTAATGGTCCTTTGTATGTTCTATGAAATGCTCACAGTCGCCGTGAAACAACTATCTTTCAATTATTTTTAGCACTTCCGTTAATTATTGTCGAACTGTTCAGATTTAATTTTAATCGTTGAAAGACCATACAATTTCAGTATCTTTAACAACTGTTGGTTCTTCGAAAGCACCCAATAAAAGAGCTTCTTTAACTGGTAGTTTCGCTGCCACATTTGATCGTTCACTGGAAAGTACCGGTGCATCAAGAGCCTGAGCGGTTTCTGATGAGGCGTCATCGTCTTTTTCGAAAGTATTTGAATAAATCTGCTAAACCCATTAATTTTAATAATGGTGGTGATACTGAGTGATAGAAATCGAAGAGGTTTTCAGTTAATTCTTTTGAATTACTTAACAGTCTACTTAATATTTGTTTTCAGTTGCTTAATGATGCCAACTTCAAAATGTTAAACTGTTCAAGCTGAGTTTCAAGTAACGTTATTGTTCACTTATTGATTTCTTATATCAAAACGTCATCAAGAAGTTCTTACTGCTTACTTTATAGATGGCAGAAACACGTGGGCTGTTTTTAATACGGCTTAGCAGCTGCTGTGGAAGTCGCATTTCTTTTACACCGTTCAAGTCATTCTCCATACTGGTTTCGTCTGATGTCTCTTCTGAAACAGGGGCGTCATATATCCGATCATCATGCGGTTCAGAGTTCTCAACTGTTGGCTCTCCATATTCATCAGATTCACTGGGCCGCCTTTTCGCTGGCTCCCACCTTACAACCTCAAAATTGATATTCTTGTTATTAATGGGGATAAAGGTCTTTTTAGAGGTTTTGTAAGACAAATAAACTTTTTGGCCGTACTTTTTTCTTGAATATTAACTAACCTGTGGCGTCAAATAAAACGGTGGTTTTTTGATACTCGCTTCTGTATCTCTACCATGGTACCGTACTTCCTCAGTCGTTTGTGTATGCTGCTGTCGTGGGGGCATTTGGAATGGGTTTCTGCCAGCAATTGCGTTAGCAACTATGCCGGGTAATATTTGCTTTTGAAATTTTTCCAGTATAGCTTTAAAGATCTGCAAATTCTTGTGTAAGTAGAGTACAGTGGTTTCTGTTTTTGACAGTAACATTTTTGAACTGGTTTCAAATAGCCACGGGTCACCACCTGTTCAGCTGGATCGTTCTCTTCCATTTCTCGTTGCGTCTTAATCGCTTGCTGTATACCCTTAATACTGGATCCGATTGGTATCCCATTTTCATGAAGCATATCCACAAAACGATTCCCTGTTTTTGGCAACATTTTCGCCATATCGGCTTGCTCAAGTATCGCTTCCGCTGCTAGCTGGTCAATCGATACTTTTTTTAACTTCTTATACTAAATAGCAGATTTTATGTCAGTAAAAGCTATGGGAGTTGTTTGTATGCTGACTTTGTATATTAGCAAAAGACACATTCATCGAAGGACTTCAGAATGAAGCAATTAAACGCAACGTATTAGAAAAAATTGCCAAAAATATGCTTACTTGTTCTGGTTGTACTTTTCGTAACACTTCAAGCTGTGTCTTAAAGGCTCCTTTGGCCATTTCCATTTGGCCTCTTTTTATCAGAGCGTCCAGCAACTGTACACTGATCTCTTCCAAAATTTTTTCTTTTGGTAATACTGAGCTTAAGTCAGGGTTAGAAGCTGAAGTTGTTTCTTCGTCTTCTTCTGACTCGCTCTCGGCAAATCCATTGCTAACTGAAAAAATTGGCTTTACTTCTCATGGTTGCATTACTTATTTTGTAGCACCAATAGCAATCTCTAAAGTACAAAAGTCGCTTAAAGTTACCGATGCAAAGGAGAAGCACCAAACAGATCATTTTGGGAAACGTTTCTGGGTGTTCCAGTACAATTTGGACAAAGTGACTAACATAGCAAATCATTTTTTCGGGAACGCTGACCTGATTAACTACTGGCCGCTTTTTGGTAATTATCCCGCTGACACAGCGACATTCTAGACAAGTCCTTTCAAATGGTTTTCAAAAACTTATTCGAATACGTATGCTGACCTTTTGACAGAAGACTGAGTGTTTTGGAACCCGAAATTATGTCATTAACTTCTGAAAGGTCTGGGCGGTTGGGTAAAAATTTGACTGATTTAAAGCAACGGAAGTTGAGAATTGTCTTGAATGTTTATTCAAGTCAAGTTTTAACATTTACGATGTCACTTCGCATAATATGAAAATATGTACCTTGTGTTCTGTTTGCAGTAATAATTATGAAGTTGATAATTTTGTAAAGTAAATTTAATTCAGAAAATAAATTTAAAAGCATTTTTTGAAACCATGACCAGTGGTTCGAGCACGTTTGATTTCTTAGCTTTTTTAAGTTGTTTTCAAAGAAATTGGTTCTTAGTACTTTGACAAACGGCAATGATGAATATTGCAGCGCCAGTGACCATAAGAATGATGGGAGAAGGCGTTTGGTTGAAAAAACTTTTTCTATCTTTTCTTTAGATTTTTCTCCTTGTTTGATTATGACTTGATACTTAAGATGGTTTGAGTGTTAAATAACTTTTTTATGAACAATAGGGATGGTGATAATTTGAACGTTCAGCGGTAGTTCAGCGGTACACTTAAAATATCCTTTTCAACAATACCAGCGAGATCTTGTTTGTTGCGTTTGTGGTGTAATGGTCAGCATGGTTGCCTTCCAAGCAATCGACGGGGGTTCGATTCCCCCCAAACGCATGAGCTTTCCTCCACCGTATTATTTGCTGCTTTGAAACTACACAAGATTTTCGTACAAATTTCTCTTTGAAGTTAAAATGTATCAACACTTTTAAAAGAAAAGCTTTCTAAAAAGTTGAATGTTAGTCCATCACCTGTCAAGGTGAAGCAAACATTTTTTGCTAAATGGTAATTGCTATTTGTGAAATAAGCTCAATGGAACGCATTAGTTTTAAGACAGGAAGAATTATAACTTTGGTTTCTTTGCTTCTTTTTATCGCCTCTAGAAATTTTTATTAACTTGTTTTCACCTTCGTGAATTCTAAAAACTTGAGTTTTTAAGACGCTGCGCAGGGTAGTTGAAATCTGTAAACAGAAGAGGAATGTTTTTTTAATATCAAACCAAAATGATTTTTTTTATTAAACTGTGTTGAAAAAGCCAATGAAATATTATTTCAATTTTACTTTTGAATGCGTGAAAGATCTGACATACCACAAGTTTACACTCATAGATTAAATCATAGGGAGTAAAGATAATTTATGGAGAATGTTAAAGTGCTGCAAAAATATTCGGTGATGTTTTTTTGATAGACTTTGTTCTTTTATGTACAAAACAGAAAACTTTGAATTTTTAGTGACAGAACTGTGCTCAAAAGTCTTTTGTAAATATATAAACATATATAGATTTTTTTTTTTGTTGTTATATTTCACGAAACATGATTTCTACTGTTGCGATGATTTGTTGACATGCAAATATCAGTACAAATAAAGGGCGAGGGATTGTTAGATCATACAACTATTCTGAGTACGATTTCTTTGTTCTTTACATTAGGTTTTGCTTATCGTAAGTTTGGTTACACGTTTAGTACAGATTTATCTTGGAAAATTAAGTTTGCTGGAATGAAATTTTCAGAACAGTTTGCTAATTATTCAACAATCACAGTTTTCTCAGCTATTTTACAGCATGTTTACAGAAGTCGTCTATTTAACAACCTGTTACATTGGATACTGAAGAGCAGCAATTATACAGTTGACATTAGAAATTATTAAAAAGTCGTGTACTTCTAAATGACACAAAAATTGATCGACGTATTATCCTGAAATATGCGACTATTGAGTGATTTTCAACTGCTATACAGACAGATTATTTCAACCTCAACTTTGCAGAAAAAAATAAAAAAAAAAAGAAAAAATAAAAACTGCAAATCTTCTCGAGTCATTTGTTGATGTTCCAAAGTAAGTTACAGCAATAGAAAAAATTCCAGACTTTTTTTTCAGCCAAAAAGGAGAATAAACATGTTTTTTTGTTACGTAGACATATTTTACTACGTATAGAAGAACTTTAAATGTTGAGTAAATAATATAAAGTTTTTCTTCAAGTTTATGAGCATTTATTATCATTTATTACTGGTATTAATTTTGATTACTATACTTTAATTTAATTTCTAAAAGAAGTCCGAAGAGATGTCGTTGATTGGTTATCAAAACAACAGATTAATATCGTTTATCTGTTGCTGTATGATAGTATCATCGTTACTACCAATAGTCAAAGCGTTTCTGAATGTATCAATGTGTTCACGTTTTCTTGCAAAATTGCAAACGGTAAATAGCATCAAAGTAGGGGGCTTTAAAATGGACAAACCAACTAAATGACTTTGGGTATTATATGTATCTGTAATATTCGTATGATGACAATAAGGCTAATGAATACTTCAACTGGTGACATATAATCCCTGTAAATCGGAATTTTTTTTTCTCTTTACATAAATATACCGCTTATTTACTGCTGTACTCATTTACAACATATTATAACAGTGATAAAACAGTAAACAAAAAAGCACTTATATAAATGTATCATTTACAAATTTTTTTTTTTTTAACACTTTTAGAGAACAAAAAAAATAGACTGTATTAGAGGAGACTAATTTTATGTGTATTATAAAAGTATAAATTTACAGTTTTATTTATTGTGAATTTCAGTGTCATAGTTGATAGTTTATTGCTTAAAGATTAATATAAACAATCCAAAAATAAATTTATTTACCACATTGCCTGATATTTCTTTGTTTTTTAACAACTGATTTGAAATTTATAGCTTTTTTTTTTTGTTTAACTTTTGTAACTGTTTATCTTGTTTAAATTGGATATTAAAACTATGTTTGTTGTTACTGTTATTATTCATACAGTTATTACTGTTAATATCAGTGCTGTTTATTGCTGTTATTGTTGATGTTGTCGTTGTTGTTAAATAGTTACTATAAATTGGTATATCGTAATTTAAAGAATAACTGTAGTATCATCAATATCAGCACCAAAACACAGCAGCAGCTGATTTTTATTTTACGATGTCATCAGAACAGAGCTGCTATTGAATTTGTTGTGTCTTTAATGAGACAACAAATGTCGGCTTTCTTTTTCTGTCTATTTGTCTAAAATTTTGCTTTCACCTTTCTCCCAATTTTTTTGTAGTATAGATAAAAAAAAAAAAAAACGAAGAAGAAAGGAAAAGTAGCAGCAAAAATTTAAGAACAGAGATTAATAATTGGCACTTTTTTTTTGTATCATTTTTTGAACTAATTGTCACAGCAAAAAGAAAAAAAATATATATATATATATTTATCAGAGGGATGAAAAAAGATTGAAATAAATAAATAAAGCAGAAACAAATCATGTCAACAAAAAAATTTTTACTCTCAACAGGACAGCATTTGTCCTTTGTGCTGTTGGAAAATTCAGAGTTTAGCAAATTTGATAGAATCGTATAGCAACATTTATGTGGCAGCAACCTGTTGATATTCATTTATTTATTTATTTATCTATTTTTTTTTCTCCCCAACACATCAAAATTTATATGTGATGGGCAGCATAACTTTTTCGCCTGTATAAATGCATCGTTTTTTTTTTTTTTTTTCACATCGTATAACCAAATTTGTTCAATTTTTTTCTGTTTTGTTAAGTTGTTGATTTTTTGAAATGATAGCAAACAGTAAAGTGATGAAAGGAGGAGGCGGTGAGAAAGGAAAAAGAAGAAGAAGAGCGAAAAAATTAATGTCGTATTCAGTGAACACTTAAAACTTTGTATATATTATTTGTGGATATTTTATGTAATCACCAAATACATATACAGTTTTTTTTCTTCCATTTTGTTTCTAATTTTTTTTTTTTTAATCACAAATATTTATTCTTTTTTAGCAATTTTTTTCTATCATTTTTTTTTTGCCATATTTTGCCGGTAAAATACTGTTTTTTCGAATAGGTTTTTTTTTCACTGCTTCGTCGTTAAGACAAAAATAAGGTTTTGGTTTTTCATAAAACGGTGACTCTGTATCAATGTTCAACTGTTTTTTTTTTTCTTACATTTATTGCTTATGTATTGCGCATTGTTTTATGGGGCTTCATGAATACAAATTATTGACTATAACCTCTAAAGGGAACAGAAAAAACAAAAGGAAGAGAAGAAAGGAAACACTGTTACGTATGATGGCGATAATAATGGTAACAGTGTTGAAACTTACTTAGTTAAAACTTGTCCTGCTACTGATCAGCTATATTTTTCCTTTCTATCTTCTTCTGTCTTCTTGATATATTAACCCTTTCAATGCTTGAGAATATGCTCAACAGTATGAATGTAAAGATAGTTTATAGATGTGCAATAATATCTGTACAAATTGCTGATTAATGGATGAAAAATTTGAACTTTTTAGTTCAGCTCAATTTATTTTATTTTTTTGTTGCTATTATAAAAGAAATTTTTAAACGATTTTTCAACAACCAAAATTCAAATAACAGTTGTAAAACCGTTTTCTTTTTTATTTCTTTAGTTTGATTTACAGAAGAAAATTCTAAGAACAGTTGAGAAAAGCAAAACGACTAAGTTACAAAGGTTGTAATAAATTAGTCGAATTGTTTCAATGAACTTTTTAGCCATCATTAATTTTTGTTTTTTATTTTGCAGTTGATAAGAGTGTTTTGAATGATTTCTACGGCAATTAGTTCAACCTTAACGAAAACAACAAGTTGATAAGAGTGAAAAATTGCTTGCCAACTGTCTGTTGTTAAGGAAAACTGTTATTTGCTATTGTTGGATACCATTCTGCTTACAATATACTGTTTTATCGTTCTTTTCTTCGTCATCAATCATTTCGGTTGTCTTCGGTTGTCAAAGTTGATTAAAATCGATGTTCGTATCTGCTTAATTATAATCAATTTTCAAA